TAAAGAGACATGAACACTTAAGTACTAATAGGTAAAGAGACATGAACATTGAAGTACCAATAGGTAAACAGACATGAACACTTAAGTACCAATAGGTAAAGAGACATGAACACTTAAGTACCAATAGGTAAAGAGACATGAACATTCAAGTACCAATAGGTAAAGAGACATGAACACTTAAGTACCAATAGGTAAAGAGACATGAACACATAAGTACCAATAGGTAAAGTGACATGAACATTCAAGTACCAATAGGTAAAGAGACATGAACACTTAAGTACCAATATGTAAAGAGACATTAACACTTAAGTACCGATAGGTAAAGAGACATGAACATGCAAGTACCAATAGGTAAAGAAACATGAACACTTAAGTACCAATAGGTTAAGAGACATGAACACTTATAGTGTTCTGATAGTAACCATATACATATCAAATTGACATTACATGATTGATTTATATTAAATCTTAGCTACATTTACTTCTAATGGCTCTGAAACACTGTTCATTACAATGTTATGAAGATAGTATTTTACTTTTTTCTTCTTCATGCAGTTATTGAATGTAGGATACTTTTAACTTAATAGTTAATAGATCAGTTTTAAACCTAAATATTGCTTCTACTTTAAAAGTATATAGGTTACGAACATAATAGAATGTGAGGTTTCTTGACATCTATTTTTTGAAATCTTACATGCAGAAAATTAGCGCACATTGGCCATCACATTGTGACAGTAACTGCCACATAATTGGACAAGACTTAAGTCTGCTGAAACGTAATATATTAAAATATTGTCCTGAATTTTAGTTTTTATTTGTGTTGTTTTTTTTTAATCTGGTTAACAAGCATCATTAAAATGGTGTGGTTGTTAAACTAATAACAGCACCATTTTACCTTGCTGATTGGCTCTCATAGGGGATATTTTTGTTTTACAAACATCTGTTGTTTTTGATTGTGTTAAGTTTTTTGGTTGTATTTTATAAGCAATACTGTTTTAATTTTATTTTGGTTATAAAGGACCACTGTTATATTGAATTTTCTGTCTTAATATAGCTTTTGTAGCAAATATCAGTCGAGCAATGTGCCAGGGTAACAAGATGCCAAAAAGAGTTTTATTTGTGGGTAGTCGTAAATATTTTAAATCTATGCACTAAGAAAACCATTGATTTGTATCTTTCCTAAAAATTCCATTAATTCTAATATCACAAGTTAAAAAGGTTAAGGATCAAATGAGCAGATATACTTCAGAATGTCTCTAGTCTTTAGTTTCTCATCAAAGTTTGTTCATGATGGTCCTTTTCTACCTAGATTCTAATGGTTATGATTCTTTTAAAGGGTTTACTCGTACCAGTTTCTTCCTATGAATCAAAGGGTTGATCATTATCAAAATTACATGTATATATGTACATGTATTACACTTTTTAATTGTTCAACCTCAATATGGATGGAACTTTGCTTATGCATGAAGTTTGCCTTGTTGTGAAATAAAAATACTAATGTTTTCACAAGACTTTGAGGCATTAACAGAAATTGTGTTGATTATTTGATAGAGTAAAATCTAGGACAGCCATCTGTATCTAAGAACTGAACAACTTCTTTTCATGAACCAGGGGAGAAATAATTACATGAAGAGACCTTTGGATTATTTCTTACGGATAAATGTATTGATGTGCACCATACTATGTTTGTACCATCTTTGGATAAAAATACTGTGTTTCTTGTTTAACACACTGTCGTGCTCTAGTGAGAGATTTGTGCCATTGGCATCACAAAACTGTTTTAGAGTGGTTGGACCAATGCTCCCCACATACCAATGCTCGGCATAAAAAATATTTCTTTAGAATATCTGAAAATGTTTCAAGTTATCTCGGATTTAGGTCACTGATGCTTTTATTTACATCTTTCACCATTTTATCCTGGTGTGGTTCACTGCTGGTAAAGTCTCCTGGCAATGCTTATAGCAGACAAAGGACCTTATGTTATCCGCAACATATAAATTATTATAATCTTTTAACACTTGAGTTCTGGGGCTGTAAAATTTTAACTCAAAGTTGGGTACTTGTAAATGTATGAACCTAATTTGGTTGTTACAATTTATTCAATCTGTTTTCTTCATAAGATAAAAAAAAGATTTTATTCGAAAAACAAACCTGCATCATGTAGTACTGTAAGCCGAGCTATGGTACAATTTCACGCAAACCGCCTTAGTTTATATGGACTATCTATAGCTCCCGCCATGTACGTCATTATGTGATTAGCGAATTTTACACAATGGCTATTTAAAACAATATCTTCGGTCTTGAAAATGGACATTTAACCTTGAGGTTTGTTGACGTTGATTTTAATTTGTCATATCAAATACAGTATTTTTACGCCGAGCGTTGGTCCACCCACTCTATGCAAAAAAAAAAATGTTGGCAATATGAGATGACTGTTTTTGTCTAGTTACATGACGTTTGGCAATTTTCCATGTAGATATTAATTTCCAAACTGATTGTGTAATTTCTTAATTGATTATGTCATAATATTCTTTGATGGTCATCTGCTATCTGGTTTATGATTGGCCAATACAAAATATTGCTATGATTTGTTCATATGTATGAGCATATGCATTAAATCACGCTGATAATTAAATCCTATCAATTGCGCTCCTAATCAACATATTCGACTGTCATATTACTAATTTATCAAAATAATTTTCATCAAATAACCATGGCTTTATACATGAATATGATACTGAATTTAATGAAATGTACACATCTCAAACATTGTTTGTTTTATTCCCAGCACTTTCATGTTTGTACGTTTGTTTCAGTGTTTAGTTCTTGTTGACTTGAATGTTCCAGATATATTTCATTGTTTGATTCCCTAGTTGATTGATACTCAATACTTACAACTTTTCCATTAGCTTTATGGCGGCAATGTTCTGGTTAGTTGTTATGCACGGTATATGTTATATACATCTTAGTCTTCATATATTTGTTAGGGAGGCAATAGCTTTATATGTTGTGTATTTATTATATGAATGTATTACGTCAGAATAAAATTTGACTTGAAAATTATTAGAATTCCATGTTTTTAACTTTCCTTAGTACAAAGTGCTCAGATGTGAGCTTATAGAATAGAAAGCTGTACATCCCCCGTTTTATTCCACAATTTCTTTAAACAACAATTTCTGCTTAACTACATGGTGTATTTTGACCAAACTGCACAGGAATGATCCTTAAGTGACCCTCTACAAAAGGTTAATAAATTGATTTAGTCTGATGCAAAAGTAGGTCATAGGACGTAAATATGGACTTGAAAAATGAATATTTTTAAATATCTTCTCAGAAACTACAACGCCAAGAACTTAGATTTGCATGTAGCATCATCTTATGGTCCTCTACAAAAGTTACATAAATCATGCCCCTGTGGTCTATATAATGGTCACACCTCAGGGTTAATTAGTATTTACAGATTTGTATAGGAAAGTGCATTTAAGTCTTCTTGTGAAACTGCAATGTCCAGAGTTTAGATATTTTGCATGTTGCATTGCATAGTAAACCACAAAGTTTAATATATAAAACATGCCCCTGGGGTCATAAATGGCCCTGCCCTTGGAGTTGCTTAGTTTACATAGACTTATATAGTAAACATGTTTTAAAAATCTTCTCTAAAAGAACAGCGCACAAAGCTTAGATATATTGCATCTTGTGATCTACAAAAGTTATATAAATCATGACCCTGGGATCAAAACTGACCCTGCCCTGGGGTCTATTAGTTTGCATACTTATATAGGAAAATACATTTTAGTCTTCTCTGTCAACAGCTTAAATATATGGCATGTAGCATTTTGAAGCAGACATCTAAAGTTATGCAGCTAACCCAATGTGAGCTAATTAATGACTTGCATTGTGACATTATCTTGTAACCTCCACTTTCCTCAGATGAGTGATCCCAGGCCATAATGGCTCTCTTGTTTCTCTTTTAAAACATTTCAGATTGTTCGCACAATCTTCTTATAAAAACATTTGTTGAAAATGAATTCTGGGGCCGCCAAGGCTGAGTGGGTAAGGTTGCTGACATCAAGTCAAGTACTGTGGGTTTAAATCAGGCCAGTGCTTAAGTTTCTGCTGGGAACTTTGGATTGTTTTATATGAAAAATTTATGAAGCTTGCTTACTGTACAGAAGGTTGGTTCTGTTCTAAATTGAAATAATGCAAAAAGGGACTTCTGAGGTCTTCCTACACTAGTAAAGTTGGACAACACACTTAATAGTGTTAATATGATTCAAATCCGAATCCAGCTAAAAAGAACTTTTTCCCTGAACATGTTATTAACAAAATGTGCATGACAGTTTGAATAACAGAAGCTGAAGGAAAAGTGACAGATAATAGAAGATGAGAGCCCAGGAAACATTTTGCTACATCTGTTACCATCTACATGTGTACAGTCATAGGAAATATAACTATGTTATCTTAATTCATCTGTAAAATCAAAAATCATGTACATGTATTCGTTTGTATTTGGATACTCAAATAACCTCAAAGTAACTGTTAAGTTTGTTAAAGTAATATGACACAGATGATAATTGAGGATAATAATGACATTATATGCCACTTGTGACTGAGGGATTGCTTATAGTTGTTGAGGCATAAGAATTGCAGCCACTGTTTATCCCCACGTTATCATAAGAGGCGACTTAATGAGTTCGAATAACTGAAGTCTATGCATCTATTAGCTCCAGCAGGCGAGGTGATGATCACAGATGTTGCTATGAAGTTTGTAACACTCAAGCTTAGCTAAAATCATCTTTCCAGTTCTGGCGTCATATGACCTATACTGTGTTGGTGCACCTTAAAACCAAACAATGAAATTATGTAAGACAACATAATGATAAGTGGTCTAACATGGTAATAATAATAAAATCATCAGTAAATAATAAGTTAATTATAATAATTAAATGATATGAGGGGCAGTCACTGTATACATATAATATGTTTTATATATTGTTCAGGGTCGTCAGATCCTCAAGTTTTGGCAGTGACCTCAGCTGAGGAAAGTAAAAGACAGAGCTACATCCATGAACTTATTAATACTGAAGAAACGTACATGCAGGACATGTCTATTGTTTTAGAGGTAAGTTACATTTACTGTCATCAAAGGAACTGATTTTTCTATGAATATGTACCCCTTTAATGTTAATGATATACTATTGCTTCACGTCTCTTTTGTGAATATAAAACAAACATGTTTTGACTTCACACATAGTAGGTTTATGACGCTTTAAATCCTACACACTAAGTGGACAGACTATGAATATATAGTATCTTTAAAAAGCTGGTAAGAAAAGACAAGCTTTACTTGACCAGTTATACAAGGAACGCAGATGCCCATATAAAGTTTGTATGTTCTTTTATTTAATTAAAATATATTCAGTAAGAATTTTATAGATTTCAGTTAATTTCTGCAATAAAAATATTTTACTCAAAGATGAGTATAGTACATTTGTATATCTTTTAAGGAGCTCTTAACTTCAGGTTTCTTTTATCCACAGTCTTCATCATTGCTATTGAGATTGGTATGATTAGTAGATGATCCCTAATGTTTTTGATGTCACCAGGTCAAAAGGCCAAGGTCACAGGGGCCTTTACTAGAAAAAGCTTGTCTGCCCAATAGCATAAGAATTCTTTGACCCACAGTCTTTATATTTGGCATGGACATTAGTCATGATTATTAGATAAGCTCTATTGATTTTGAGGTCACTGGGTCAAAGGTCAAGGTCACGGACCTTGACTAGAAAAAGTGTGTCCGCCCAACTTGAGATTCTTATGACCCACATTCTTCATATTTGGCATGGTTATTGGTCATGAACATAAGATGACCCCTATTGCTTTTACACAGGGACCTTGACTTCAAAAAGCTTGTCTGCTTAATTGCTTTAGAATGCTTTGGTCAACAGTCTTCATATTTGGTATTGGGGTTGGTTATGACTAGTAAATGACCCCTTTTGAGATCACTAAGTTAAAGGTCAAGGTAAGAAGGGCCTTGACTGAAAAAGCTTGTCCGCCCAATAACTTAAAAATCCTTTGACCCACAGTCTTCATATTTGGTCTGGAGTTTAGTCATGAACATTAGATGACCCCTATTGATTTTAAGGTCATGGGTCAAAGGTCAAGATCACAGGGGCCTTGACTTCAAAAAGCTTGTCCACCCAATAACCTTAGAATTCTTTGACCCTTGGTCTTCATATTTGACATGGCGGTTGATTATGACCATTTAATAAAAACGTTATTGATTTTGAGGTCATAAGTTCAAAGGTCAAGGTCACAGGGGCCTTAAGTTCAAAAAGCTTTTCCGCTCAATTGCTTAAGGATGCTTTGGTCAACAGTCTTCATATTTGGTATTGTGATTGGTTATGACTAGAAGATGACCCCTTTTGATTTTGAGGTCACTAGGTAAAAGGTCAAGGTCAGAAGGGCCTGGCTAAAGAAAGCTTGTCCACCCAATATCCTAAGAATCCTTTGACCCTCATTCTTCATATTTGGCATGGAGGTTGGTCATGACCATTTAAGGACCTTTATAGATTTTGAGGTCAAAGGTCAAGGTCACAGGGACATTAAGTTCAAAAAGCTTGTCTACTCAATTGCTTAAGGATGCTTAGGTCAACAGTCTTTATGTCTGGTATTGAGGTTGGTTATGACTAGTAGATGACCCCTATTGATTTTAGGTGACTGTGTCAAAGGTCAAGGTCAAATGAGCTTTTACTATAATAAGTTTATCTGCTCAAATGCTTAAGAATGCTTGTCAACAGTGTATTGATTTTGACATTTCACATTAGAAGCATTTAGTTATGTTCTCATATATTCATCATAAAACACACCCAGGCAAAGCTGCATAAAGGGGGGGGGTTCAAGTCATGCAGTGGCAGTTTCAGTTTTGAGGTCAGTAGGTCAAAGGTAAAGGTCACTTTGATCTTTGCCACTAAAAAACATGTAGAATACATAACTTAGCAATGTACTGGCTTACTACCCTCAGATTTTGCAGGGAGGTCCTTAACCTCTACATGACCACTGTTGTTTCTGATAAAGTGGTATGCGGGGGTATTGATGCCATGACAGTGGCAGTTCTAGTTCAAAGCAGGACAATTTTCCCTTCTTTTATAATGAGTTATTTTTAAATAATATGTTATAAATCTTATATTTCAGGTATTTTACAAACCATTAGCAGAGGGTGGAGCTCTATCTGTTGAAGAATTACAAGCAATATTTGTCAACTGGAAGGACCTAATTGTGTGCAATACAAAATTACAAAAGTAATTCATTAACACCTAAAAGAAAAAGTCACATTTTGTATCTCTTTTGTATACATGTACAATGTACTTTCATTTAATGTCACTAGTATAACTGATATTGTATGGTAAAACTCTTTAAAATAAGCGTTAGTCATTTTTAGCTTGACTTTTCAAAGAAAAATGGTGCTTGTCCACTCACCTCTGCATCAGCATTGGTATTAGAGTATCACTTTATAAAAATTTTACATGCAACTTCAAATCTCATCAAATTCTTTGATATTTCATGAACTACTGAAGGTGTTCATTTTGAACTGCACACATTGTTCAAAATCATAATTTTCAGTTATTTTCCAAGACCCATAGCTTTGATATGGATTTTGAATGAATTTTTCTGATTATCTGCATTAGTAAAGCTCTTGTTTAACTATGAGGCTGTCAAAATACATGTAGTTGAGCATGCCTTCCTCCTGACAGCTCTTGTTTGTCTTTGAGGCTTGTGCAAGGAAAGGCGTTATATATTCTTGAAGTAATGCAAGGACAGTGTAAACCACTAATGTAAGGAGTTTTAGTTTAATATCAGGAAAACATTTAGTAATTCTAGTTTTAGAAACTGGGATATTTATCACAAGTATATTTAACACCTAAACAATTTGCCATAATTAGAATGTAGAGTACTACAGGTTAGTAACCAATCAAACCAGACAAGCATTTAGAACCTTGCAAGGTAATCATTCTATATTGTTGACATATTCAGTCTTATTTCATACTTTGATATATTAATGATAATGACATCGCTCAAATTGGCAATGGTCAGTTCTTAATTCAGATTAGGGTTAGTTTATCATCCAAACTTCAAATTAGGGTTGTTAGTTCATCATGCTAACTTCAGTTTAGGGTTAGTTCATCATGCTTACTTCAGATTAGAGTTAGTTCATCATGCTTACTTCAGATTAGAGTTAGTTCATCATGCTAACTTCAGATTAGAGTAAGTTCATCATGCTTACTTCAGATTAGAGTTAGTTCATCATGCTTACTTCAGATTAGAGTTAGTTCATCATGCTAACTTCAGATAAGGGTTAGTTAATCTTGCTAATGTCAGATTAGGGTTAGTTCATCATGCTAACTTCAGATTAAGGTTAGTTCATCATGCTGACTTCAGATTAGGGTAAGTTCATCATGCTGACTTCAAATATGTGATGGTTCATGCTAACTCCAGATTAGGGTTAGTTCATCATGCTAACTTCAGATTAGGGTTAGTTCATCATGCTGACTTCAAATATGTGATGGTTCATCATGCTAACTTCAGATAAGAGTTAGTTCATCATGCTAACTTCAGATAAGGGTAAGTTAATCTTGCTAATGTCAGATTAGGGTTAGTTCATCATGCTAACTTCAGATTAGGGTTAGTTCATCATGCTAACTTCAGATTAGGGTTAGTTCATCATGCTAACTTCAGATTAGGGTTAGTTCATCATGCTGACTTCAAATATGTGATGGTTCATCATGCTAACTTCAGATTAGGATAAGTTCATCATATGAACTTTAGATTATGGTTAATTCTTCATGCTTGACATTTGTGTTTGTAATGCATAAATTCTATATTTGCAGAGCATTACGGGTTCGAAAGAAAATGTGTGGTGTTGACCAGGTTATTAACAGTATTGGAGATATCTTATGTGAAAATGTAAGTATATTGAAACTGAAGTTTATTTTTATTGAAACATCATATATTGTTGAATGCATTTATGTTGAAACCACACTACACTATACCAAAAGAATCAGCCATTAGTTGCTTCTTTATCTTGAAAATCAGGAGTATTGATATTATTTTATTTGTTCTCTGTAAGTTATCAAAAAAGATTGAATCATAGCAACCTCCTGGATTGATATACTTAAAGTTTTCCTCTCAGATTTGTGAACAAAGAGATTTTGATACAGTTAGAAGAAAATCTTTTTTAACAACTTCTTTTTACTAAACAAATTTAAATGAGAAGCTTCCAGAATTGGGGAATCTTTCTATAACTTGCACTATCCTCCAAAATCTAAAAAGACTAATACTCTTCTGGAGGACTGGTGTTTATCAACATACCTCTACTGCATATCAAATGCAGTAAAGGCTACTTTTGCATATTTTGACCTCTTTTTGATAATTTACAAGGATTAAAAATGCCATTTGCAGTGTGTAAATTACTTTCTCCATTCACTACACAATATTTTACTTTTAAATACATTTCATAATTTTCATAAAAAATAGCCTGAATCTGGAGGCATGCTGCTTTAATTTAAACATTTCTTGCCCATTTCAGCTGTTACATATTTAAAGATAAAAATTTGTATTAATCTATTCATATTTTTATATTCACTTTAACTTGATACATGTTATTGAATGATGTAAATTGTTCATTGGGATATATTTCAGATTCCTCATCTAACAGCTTATATCAGATTTTGTAGTTGTCAGTTAAATGCAGCTGCATTATTACAAAAAATATCAGAAACTAACCAGAAATTCAATGAAATCCATAAGGTAAGTCTATCTCCTTATCCTAGCCTTAACTTTACATGTTGATATATCTTTATTTGCTGTCATCATGTTCATTATTCTAGGCTTCACTCAATAGGTTGATAAATTTATTTTCTGTCAACAGGTGCAAAAACATAGACTTAAAGCGGCTTTTCTAAAGGTTAAATATGTTATATTCAGATAAATTGTTTCATATGATTGTCAAATCAAAAGAATTAAGGTGTAAAATGAAATATTCTGTTGATAAGATACATAAACAATAAGGAAACCCCTAGATATCTCTTATCTACTGGTCCACTTTTTATATGTAAATTAGTGAAGCTGGTGATTTGGTCCTTTATGTGATTGTCATTCCTTTGATCTTTCAATATCCATCCAAATAACGGAAATTACTTATACATCTAAAATTATAAGCTTATTTACAGCTAAAAGTTTATTTCCTAACAACATGAATTGATTTAATGAACAGGGAGGCGCTATTAGAGTAAAAATGATTTAATTGATTTTATGAAAATACTTTACAGAAATGTGTTCAGAATTCAAAAACAAAGGGAATGCCATTGAGCAGTTTTCTGTTGAAACCAATGCAGAGAATCACTAAATATCCTCTCTTAGTGGAAAAGGTATGTTATAATTAATTTTCTTATAGTGTAACATCTTGTTTTTAAAGTGTTTTAATAAGTCTGATTAAAATATTGTATTTAGTAATAATGAAAACCAATATTTTATGTATATGAAGCGATAATTAGCAAAATTGAATTAGTTAATTAAAAAATGTTTAAATTTATGTTACAGATACATGTATTAGTATTATCAGATCCTTTTGGTAATTTCTAAAAATGTGCCTTTTTGATTAAACACATTTAATATAAAGGTTAACAGAAATAATGTTTAATAACATTCATTCAATCAATTCTTATTTAAAGTGGAGTTAAGCAATGATTTGGCACATGTGCCACTTGCTTTTACAGAATTTTTTGGATGTCATTCTTTCAATTTAGTTAATTATGGCCTTACAGACTTTTATGATCAAAGTCTTCTGTAAGTTTCTACAACAGTAACAACTGTAATGGTTATTTTACAGATATTAAAGTACACCCCTGTGGGTCATCCAGACCACACCCACTTGATGGAAGCTCTAGAAACATGTCAGGAGTTGTGTAGTCAGGTAAATGAAGGTGTGAGAGAGAAGGAAAACTCGGACAGATTAGAATGGATACAGCAGCGGGTCCATTGCGATGGCCTACCAGAGGTAAACATAGTGTTCAATTATAGTCTAATGACCTCTACACATGACCATGACCTTTGACCACAGGAACCTGAAATTTGCATGTAATTTAATGGTTAGAATGGATACAGCAGCGGGTCCATTGTGATGGCCTACCAGAGGTATACATATTGTTCACTTATAGTCTTATGTTCTCTAAACATGACTTTGACATTGACCATATGAACCTGAAATTTGCATATTATACTTGGCCTCACAATGACGAACATTTATACCAAGTTATATTAAAATCCCTAAGTTGCATGTAAAAGTTTTGCTCCAGTCATATATTTTATGTTCACATGTCAGTTAGTTGCTAATTGATCTTAAGATACAAGAAACATTATGGTAGCATGGCCAGAATTTCTAGCTTTGTGGGTTCAAATCCCATCAGGGGCAAGCTGTTGTTTCTTTGAGCAAGAAACTTTAAACTCATTGCTTAGTATTGGTTGGTTTTAGAGTGTGTTCAACTGAAATAAATTTTGTATAAAGTAAACATAGCCGACAAAAAAAATCCCAAGTAAGGCTTAATGACTAGAAGTACCCAACTGGTAGGAATGGATTACAGTTTATACATTGCTTACTTGATTGAATTTGAGTGCTTTCTTTTGCAGAAATTTAAAACATATTTCAAGATTTTCGGAGGTTTTTTATTTTGATGTACTATTTTATAGTAATGAGGAGATATAACAAAATATTCTCTCCCTTGTTTCATTTGTTTTATTTCTGTTTTAAAGTTAAGAACTTTTTTCTGTTTTTATTTCAGAAAATCACATTTAATTCCGTCACAAACTGTTTGGGTCCAAGGAAACTTTTACACACTGGTGTTGTGTACAAGGTAAACTTTTTACCACTAAATTTTTGTAATGGAATTGTCCAGTCTTAAGCTTAGGACAGTCAATATAAAGGATTACAAAAAAATTGATCTGAAAATTGATCTAGCAACAATAAAGAGCCTTCATATCAATGTGATGATTAGCCAATTTATAGAGAAAAATAAATAAATAATAAATCCTTTAGTTTGGTTTGGATTTTTTCTACCCATTTTAAAGACGGTACATTGTACATGTATATGATAAAATGAAAATATGTATGTCATGTGCTATTGTGATGGTTTTCATAACCTTTGTTGAAGAAGTAAAGTCTGCCAGTGGACTTACAGGAATACAACTTTACTGAAACAACTCTAGCAATACAACTCCCTCACATTTGCTCTTTCATGTAATATACTATATATATCTCATCTTAGTAGTATATCCTGTATTTCATTAGTGAATAATTATACGATGATTGTAACTTAATGAGAATTATATCTTACAGTATACATCTAGTCTTACCTTATTTTATCACATAAACATGCAACTTTTGGGACCCCGTAAAAATGGTATTGCACGGGCGTGCATGTATCTCGACATGATGTCATTTGCGTTATAAAAGCATAGCGTGTTTCACTATATGCACTCAATTAAAAAGCCATTCTTTTTATTGTGTACAGTTTATATTTTGGATATGTGATAAATCAAATATTATATTCGTGTAGCTCCATTTATTGAACTCATTGAATAAAATAATATTTTGTTCACCAGAGGCTCGCATAACTTTAATTTTATTAACTTCTTCTATAAATTCAGTCTTGTACCTACACTAATTTAGCATCCTCTGTACAATGTATATTAGTTCTTTGCTTATAAGCTTACATTATTGCTTTATACAGACTACATTGTTTTTCAGATTTGATATTTTCTTAAGTACATATTATACATGCACATATTTCTAACATTTGTATTATTTTCTTGTAGAGTAAAAGTAATAAAGAGTTGGCAGCATTCCTGTTTAATGATTTCCTGTTACTAACTACATCCAACAGACCTCTAAATAATGCCACACATAGTGTGTTTGATCTAACTGGGCAAGTGCAATATAAAATGTATAAAACTGTAAGTACATATTTATGAAAATTTACATAATTTATCTAAAAACCTTCAAAATCTAAGAAAATATTAATTGGAATATTTTTAGCTCAACTGTCATATAGTGACAAGGTGAGCTTTTGTGATCGCTTTTCGTCCGGTGTCCGGCCATCCGTAAACTTTTACTTTAAATGACATCTCCTCATAAACCACTAAGCCAATTTCATCCAAACTTTACAGGAATGTTCCTTTGGTGGTCACCTTTAAAAATTGTTCAAAGAATTTCATTCCATGCAGAACTCTGGTTGCCATGGCAACCGAAAGAAAAAACTTTAAATTTCTTCTTTTAAAAAACCCAAAGAGCTAGAGCTTAGATATTTGGCATGAATCATCTTCTAGTGAGTGTCTACCAAATTTGTTCAAATAAAAGCCCTGGGGTCAAAATTGGCCCCGCCCCAGGAGGGTCATTGATTTTCCCTATATGCATATAGTAAAAACTTAAAAAATCTTCTTTTTAAGAACTCAAAGAGCTAGAGCTAAGATATTTAGCTTGAAACATGTTCTAATGGGTGTCTACAAAGTTTGTTCAAATAAAAGCCCTGGGGTCAAAATTGGCCCCGCCCCAGGGTCATTGATTTTCCTTATATGTGTATAGCAAAAACTTAAAAAATCTTCTTTGATAATACCCAAATAGCTAGAGTTAAGATATTAAGCATGAAACATCTTCTAGTGAGTGTCTACAAAGTTGTTCAAATAAAAGCCCTGGGGTCAAAATTGGCCCCGCCCGGGGGTTCATTGATTTTCCTTATATGTGTATAGCAAAAACTTAAAAATCTTCTTTGAAAAAACCCAAATAGCTAGAGTTTAGATATTAATCATGCAACATCTTCTAGTAAGTTTCTACAAAGTTTGTTCAAATAAAAGCCCTGGGGTCAAAACTGGCCCCGCCCAAGGGGTGTCATTCTTTTTAACTATATGTGTATAGTAAAAACTTAAAAAATCTTCTTTTAAAAACCCAAATTAGCTAGAGCTTAGATGTTTAGGATGAAACATCTTCTTATGAGTGTCTACCAAGTTTGTTCAAATAAAAGCCCTTGGATAAAAATTGGCCCTCCCGGGGTGGGGGGGGGGGGGGCGGGAGGACGGGGGGAGGAGGAGGGAAGGTCATTATTTTTCATTATATGTGTGTAGTAAAAACTTAACATCATGAAACATCTTCTAATGGATGTCTTCCAAGTTTGTTCAAATAAAATCCTTGGGGTTTAAACTGGCCCCGCTCCGGGGGGCCTATATACAGGTGAGCGACCTCAGGGCCATCATGGCCCTCTTGTTTTCATTTTTAGCTTGACTATTCAAAGAATATGGAGAGCTATTGTAGTCGCCCTGGCATCCGCGTCTGCGTTGGGTAAAGTTTTGTAAAGTCAAATATCTCAATTATTACTTGAGATATTCAATTGAAACTGACAATACTTATTTATAGTAATAATGTACATCAGATTGACAAGTTGGATAACTCTGCCTACTATATTTACAGAATTATTCCCCTTTTTAACTTAGAAATTTTGGTTAAAGTTTTTTGTAAAGTCAAATATCTCAATTATTGCTTGAGATATTCAATTGAAACTTACAATACTTATTTATAGTAACAATGTATATCAGATTGACAAATTGGATAACTCTGCCTACAATATTTACAGAATTATGCCCCTTTTTATCTTAGAAATTTTGGTTAATGTTTTTTGTAAAGTCAAATATCTCAATTATTGCTTGAGATATTCAATTGAAATTTACAATACTTTTTTATAGTAACAATGTACATCAGTTTGCAAAGTTGCATAACTCTGCCTGTAGTATTTGCAGAATTATTTACCCCTTTGAAACTTAGAAATTTTGGTTAAAGGTCTTCAAAGATATTTACTTGAAATTTTACACATGTACTTAGGGTCATATTTGAAGGTCACATCTCAAGATTCATTACTCTGGCATGAATTTTGACTGAATTATGCTCCCTTTTGTACTAAAAAAAATCTTCTTTTCTTGGTTAAGTTTAACATGCAAATTTTGCATATCTCTGAAACTAATGAAGATACAAACTTGAAACTTCACATGTATATTTGTGGTCATAAATAATAATCACTGAACAGCACTCATATCTGTGTCATGTATTTAGGCTGATTTATCACCCCCTTTTTTACTTAGTCTCTTAGTTAATGTTTACATGTAAGTTTTACATATCTCAACAACTATCAGAGATTTTGATTTGAAACTTCACATATGCATAAAGGGTCATAATTGTATGTCACTGACCAAGTTCCATAACTCTATCTTGCATTTAGGCTGATTTATCTCCCCTTTTCTACTTAGTCTTTTGGTTAATGTTTACATGCAAGTTTTACATATCTCAATAACTATTAAAGATATTTATTTAAAACTTCACATATGCATTAAGGGTCATAATTGTAGTTCACTGACCAAGATCCATAATTCTATCTTGCATTTAGGCTGTTTTTTCTCCCCTTTTTCAACTTAGAAATTCATGGTAAAGTTTTGCTTGTAAGCTGTTATCTCCATAACTACTGAAGGGTTTGTGCCTTTTTGGGACAATTTTATGCATTCATAATAGTATTTAAGCAGTGATTTACTTTATAAAACATCTTAATAACAAGCCTTTGTACCTTTTTGGTCAATTTTATGTATTCATAGGTAAGCATTATTTTACTCAATAAAACACCCTTGTGACAACTTTTTCGAATAGTCGAGCCTAACTGTCCTCCGACAGTTCTTGTTTTGTTTAAAAACACTTACATTGCTTTGATATCTAAACTTTCTAGTAATAAGGGTCTAACTTTTGTTGTTATACATGGAAACATGGCTGAATCTCAGACTGATACAGATAAATAAATATCTGTCAGAATGGTACATCCATCTACTTTATAGTTGTTACTTTAAAATGTGGGAGGATATTTGAATTAATGTATGCAAAAATGCATGTATATAACACTGTTATGAAATGCAGGAAAGCAATTCTGAAGCAAATATTTATAGAGAATCAGATTTTCCTCTCTTCTGGGAGCCAAATATACCTTGTTATTAATTATGCCAATCATTTTCTTTTTGTTATTCTAAGCCAAAAATTCTTATTTATATTTGGTGTTGAAAGTGTAATTGTATATACTTATCAGGGCAGGAACATCTTAGTTGAATTTAGAAGCAAATTTTATGTATGAACATTACTAAACATGTACATTTGACCTAATTAGGAAGTATTACACTTAGTTTATGACTTATATTTTTACAGCCAATATTCTTGAATGAAGTAATGATCAAGAAACCCAATACGGATGATGTTGAATCATTCACGATATCACACATTGACCGTGTTTACAACCTCAAATCCCATAACCAGTCAGAACGGGACACGTGGGTTCGTCATTTAGAAACGGCGTCACGACATTACCTTGACACAGAGAGGAAAAAGCGGGAAAAGGCAATAAGCTGTAAGTATATGAATCATTACACTAGAATGTTTATCTGAAAGCCAATTCAGATGGGGCAAATGATTCGGTGTTTGCGCTGTTCATATCCACATGGGCAACTAAATTTGCAAAAAAACTTTCATTTTTTTACCCATTTGAACAATTTTTGTGTTATCGTAAAAGAATTATGAATCAGGAGGCAGGCTGCTTAAAAAAATGAGGGGCAAAAACATCTTAAGTTTTCACCATATATACAAATGTACCACAGATTTACTGTGTGGAGGAAAAACAGGTTAAATCTAGTATACTCCTAAGGTAATTTGCCAGCGTTAGCTACAGTGTGTTGTCAAGATTTTTTTACAATAAAATATAATGTTTGAGAAGTTTTATATATATGATTTTATTAATTCTATATATTTAATTATCATGATCCTCAATTTTATGGTTATTAGGTAGGTTATTTTGAAGACATTGTTGATGCATCAAAAATTAACTACATACATGGCTGCTGTAAATTTATGAAATTCAATTACATTTTGTATTTTTCTTCTTCTTTTTTTTTAAATATAAGAATTTTGTGAAAACAGTGATGTAACAAATTCCTTATAATGTTCTTTCACAAGTTATATGGACATATATATGCATGTATATATGGTTGTATGCCTTGTAGCTCAGGTTATATAAGCTTACAGCCATTTATACTGGGTCATATAACCTGTCAATACTTATAATAATGATATAAAAACATCTTGTGATTGTAGCCCTTACCCTGTTTGAACATTAAGTGATTAGCCTTAGCCACCAGTATAGAGCCAGGCCAGAAATGCCATCCTTGTAGTTTGGCCAGGCTCTATACTGCTGGTAGCTCAATTTTTGTGTTTTGATGTTGCTTCTTTGAACTGACTGTTTTAAATTTAAAGCAGAGCGAATTCTTTACATAGATCTAGCAGGTTAGGGTTATAATAACTTTATAATGAGTGTAAGGTCTGTAAATTCATGATGTGATGTATTGTTATTGGAGATTTGACCAGTGATTTTTTTTACCTTTTTCTTGCATCAATCTATGTATTTAAATATGGGATATTTTAGTGGTTTAACCATAAATTAATTGGGAAAGTTTGACAAATATATTAAACCATTTAATTTTCTGATAATTAAAACATACATTGTATTAATAAATTGTATTTTCATAAAAAGCCTCACATGTCTAAATGTTGAGCTGGTTTGGGGAATTATCTGCTCAATTTTTGGGAATTTTGAAGATCAAATTGTTAATTTCAATAGTCTTGTCAATTGAGAAAAATATCTATATTTTGCCTCTTTTTATGCAAAAAAAAATCACTGAATGAACAATTGTTAAATGTTGATGGACTGTTTTGTGTGTAATTTTATTGTATATTTCTACCTGTAGCCCCTAAACACACCCGTGGTGTTGGACGTCTGTTAGTTATTATCATAGAGGGATCAAACCTTATGTGTAGTAAAGATGGTAAGGGTCAAAGAATGTTACCTGACACCTAGGTCAAGGTCGTTTCCTTGGTTACATGTTGTATCACGGCACTGTTTGTTTCCCTCCTTGGTTACTTCCTAAGATGCATGAATATTACCGTAAATACAACACGAAATCTGCCAAATCCATAGAAAAATTTGAATTAAAAAAAAAAAATGTTTTGAACACACTTAATTTAGATCTTGAGATAGAATGTTGATTCAGGAATAGAATTGTAAATGGCAGATTTCGGTTTGGTTATTTTATCACAATTCACTATTCCCTCATTTGTTACCTGTTCTTTCCTAATTTTGTAGCATTTTATAATTTTGTTCCAATCAGTTTGATTTCAGATGCAAATTAGTGCTCTACTTAACTGTGTCTATATATTTTTTCCCCGTATTCTGATATCCAAACTGAAAAACTTTGATATGTAGGCCCTACTTCAAAGTTTGAAATTTGCTGCACTGTTTTTAGAAAACTCTTGAGTTCAATTGAGAAATGGGTTGTATCTAAGATGAAAGAAAATGTGGGTGAAAATGATTTTAATTCATGAATATTCATGTATTGATAAGTTCATGAATATTCATGAAGACTTTAATAAACAGATTGTTATGTGTTAGCGGGAAGAAACCAGATATGCTTTTTAACTATTAAACAGAAATTATAATAGTTTTTATGTTGTTTCTTTTCATATGAGTTTCACTCTCCCCAAAAATTATATGCAGTTGTTTTATTTCTCATTTTATGTTTCTTTCTAGGAGTAGTTTTCTTTACTGTAATAAGTTTATTTATTTCCATTTCTGGGTAATGCATGTAATGTTGGCATGTGTTTTTATGACATTTTAGTGCGACACAGTCCGGGAATGGGCCGACTTCTTGTTGTTATTGTTGAAGGCAAAGATCTAAAGGCATCAGATGATTATGGTAGGATATTGTATATACACAATGGTGATCAGGGATATTTCTTTATGTAGATAGATTTTACTGACTTCTTATTATTCACTGCTTAAAGTCAGAAATTTAGGCTTAGGCTAATTTTTCATGATGCTAAATATTAGGCTTTAAAGGGCCATATATTAGGCTTTAAGGTTTAGGATCCTAAATTTAGGCTTAAAGATGCTAAATATTAGGCTTAAAAATGCTAAATATTAGGCTGTAAGATTTAAGATGCTAAATATTAGGCTTTAGTATGCTATATATTAGGCTTCAGTATGCTAAATATTAGGCTTCAGTATGCTAAATATTAGGCTTTAAGATGCTAGATAGTATGGCTTTAGGGTTCTAATTATTAGGCTTTAAGATGTTAGGTAGTATGGCTTTCAGATACTAAGTATTAGGCTTTAATATTGGTGTAAAAGTTTGCAGTTTAATTTTCAGACTCTGTATATCTAAAAGATATGTTATCAGATTTTCTAACACTAACATTGCAACACTATTTATGTTTCAAATTCTAGGCTGATTGTAAGTTTAACTGATGTAATTTAAAGAAATGTTTGATATTTATTCCAGAATAAGTAAAAGCAGGTTTCATTGTTTTCTTGTCAGAATGTTTTTTACTAATATTCAATGAAGGATAACATTATGTTTTCATAATTCTATAGATCACATAACATGTCTGATTAAAGCTTAATTAACCACTTAGCTTAACCACTAAAGTTTAGTCAGACACATTGTACTTACAATAATTACTAACTCAAGCTTAGTCAGAACTACCTAGCTTAACCGCTTAAGTTTAGTCACACACATTGTAATACACAATAGTTGCTGACTCAAGCTTAGTAAACCACATAGCTTAACTACTGTACTTAAGTTTAGTCAGATACATTGTAATTACAATAGTAACAGACTAAAGCTCAGTAAACTACTTAGCTTAACCACTCAAAATTAGTCAGGCACATTGTAAATGCAATAATTGCTGACTCAAGCTTAGTAAACCACTTTACTTAACCACTTAAGTTTAGTCAGACACATTGTAATACAATAATAACTGACTCAAGCTCAGTAAACCACTTTACTTAACCACTTAAGTTTAGTCAGACACATTGTAATTACAATAATAACTGACTCAAGCTCAGTAAACCACTTTACTTAACCACTTAAGTTTAGTCAGATACATTGTAATTACAATAAGAACTGACTCAAGCTCAGTAAACCACTTTACTTAACCACTTAAGTTTAGTCAGACACATTGTAATTACAATAATTACTGACTCAAGCTCAGTAAACTTCTTTACTTAACCACTTAAGTTTAGTCAGACACATTGTAATTACAATAATAACTGACTCAAGCTCAGTAAACCACTTAGCTTAACCACTTAAGTTTAGTCAGACACATTGTAATTACAATAATTACTGACTCAAGCTCAGTAAACTTCTTTACTTAACCACTTAAGTTTAGTCAGATACATTGTAATTACAATAGTAACAGACTAAAGCTCAGTAAACCACTTAGCTTAACCACTTAAGTTTAGTCAGACACATTGTATTTACAATAGTAACAGACTAAAGCTCAGTAAACCACTTAGCTTAACCACTTAAGTTTAGTCGACACATTGTATTTACAATAATTACTGACTCAAGCCTAGTAAAAGACTTAGTTTAACCACTTAAGTTTAGTCAGACACATTGTACATGTAATTGCAATAATTACTGATTCAAGCTCAGTAAACCACTTTACTTAACCGCTTAAGTTTAGTCAGACACATTGTATTTACAATAATTACTTGCTGAAGCTCTATGAACCACTTAGCTTGACCGCTTAAGTTAAGTCAGACATATTGTAATTTCAATAGTAACTGACTGTAACCCGGAAAAAAACAAACTTAGCGTCATTAACACAGTTAATGATTAACTGCGTCATATTTTAAGGAATGCAATGGTAAAATTATCTTGTCCATTAATTGAATAATCAAGTAAATATTGAAATCAAACTGATAATCTGATTCATGTTACATTGACATTTATTATGTTTTTTCCCCTTTAAATTTAAGTTGTTCTTATGTTAATGCAACACTTTCAGCCAAGTGTGGATGGATGTTTGTCCATCTATCTCACTCTTCCTTGTTTGCTGTTTATGTCTTCAATATATTCTTATCTAAAACTGGGGTAACTAGGACATTTCAGTCTAATAAAACACCTGCCAAGCTATTGGTTGTTGATATAAGGATTTTAATACAGAAACACTTAAGAGAGTGACACAAATGTCTTATCAGACTGTACAATAGGGCAGCTTGTCTAAAAATAGTCCAACTAATTAGACTTGACAAAGAGATATCAAGATATTTTTTATTTGCACAATGTCTTTTTCTAACGGTTTGACAGTGTGTAAAAAAGCAGTCTGTAAAATGGGTCAAACCATTCTTGCCAAATGAATTAGGTTAACCTGAAAGTGTAATTCTTTATCAAAGCTTATAATGGTTCAGAGTTAGTGACTTAGTCACGTGCATTGTTTACAATCTTTGCTAACAGTCTACATATATGTAGACCGGCTGCATTATTTTTCTGTTTGACGTTGAGAGATCTTACGTAACTATTCAAGGCGTCTTGGTTTCTGTTTTCCTTTTCAAAACACTGCCCCAATATGTTCAGTGCTGTTTCTCGATGACGAAGGTTGGTTTCAGTTTCTATGGTTACAATGAGGTCATTAAGAGCTCTTTGTTGATCAGAACGTCTCTGAAGTTGGCCATAGGTTTTGTATTGTAGGAAATGTAAAAAAGGGAGAGAATCCACTGTTGCCCAGTCCATCCAGTGGACTTCACTCGTGTCTCTATGTAACATATCCATTTTTGTTGACCTGAACATTTCATACTGAAGTTCATGAGGAGTACAGTTGATTTCAGCACGTGTAAACTTGACACAAAATGATACATTTTCTCTTACAACACATACTATATTCTTGAAATGTGCATCTTCAGCAAACTCTATTTTCCTTCCTATTCTAGGGAAATTGTGGCAGCCACAAGCTGGTTCAACAGCATTCCTGGTATACCTTCTTGTGATTTCTTGTAGAATGGCATCTGTTCTAACCATATCTCCTAGACAGTAAAATACAGATGCTTGTTTCAGTCTGCCAGACGAAACATCTGAATTTAAACCAGCATGTAACCAGTCAGCTGCTTCAGATGGTAAACCAATGTTGTTTTTCTGGAGATTTATAGATGCTATAACTGTTCCCAATGTAGAACAGATTGGCAATACCAAAAGGCTGCTTGCTGTTTGCTCTAATACACTGCCTTCTCTGTAGATTGTTGTATAATTACGAATGTATTGAAGTAAACTTTGTTGTAGTACTTTTGACATGGCGTTTGGTATTTGTTGTAAAAGGTATCTATGCAGTACACAGACTGTCCTTGTTGTGTCAAATACATTAGCTAATGATATAAGAGATAATGGTTCATGAGCATATAAACTCGGTACTGGATGACTTAACACATTCAACTTTATCTGAAGTCGTTGACCAAGATCATCTATCTTAATTCCAAACAATACAGAGCCGTTACTTTGCATGATGTGACATAGAGTGTCTTGTAATTTATGTTTGACTTGTAATGAAATATTTCCTGCCATCAGATTGTTTCCAGGGATGATAAAATGTGGACAGTTTCTTTCTGTTAAATTTCTGTGTAGTCTTTGTAAACAAAGTAGCAGACATTTCCATAAATTGTCTTCCTTCCATTCATTTGGGTGTGTGTTTTCTACACAATACATGAGTACTGTTTTGCACATGAAGCTTGAAAGATGACCTTCACCTTGAGAAGTTAGATAAGTTTTAAGGATCATCTTCATTAATATGTAGCATCTTATTTGTGTGATATTTAAACTAAACATCAAACTTCGTTCAGCTAAAGAAGTAGAAATTCTCCATTCCAGGGTCTCATTTTGGCTGAATTTACTTCCTACTGGAACAACAAAACATCCACTCCTCTCTGCAAATTTCTTAATTTCTGGTGTTGGCCAGTAATTTCCAGCTCCTCTCTGTAACCATGGCCTTGCTTCTCTCGGCCAAGATTTGCAATGAAAGGCTTGAACTATATCCATATCTCTTTCATCATCTCTGCCTCGCATAACCCAAGCTGGACCATGTCCTTCAGTGTAAGTAGATCTTATTATAGTGTTTTTCAGTATCACAGTATCTCTATTTACTTTAGCATGGTATTTGTTTAGAGCCTTTGTAACTGGTAGTGGTAAATCAGGCCTAGTCAGTTGTAGTTGACAGTACCCAGGTGATGTAGAATCATTTTGGATCATCAGTAGATTTGTTAAGCCAGGTTGCCACTCGGAATAGTCCTGTATAACATTAATGTCATGATTGCAAAGTAAAGAGTCTGTGTCAGAGTTAAGGTCCATAGTTGTTGTCCCTTCAGACTGGCTTCCAAAACAGAACATTGACTGCTTATCTACACTTTTATATGTAATTGATTTCATAGCTTCATTCAGAAGTATAGCCTGTCTGCTCTTCATTACCATTGTTTCATTCATCCCTATGTCATCAAATACCTCAGACAGTTTCAGTGATAAATCACTGTGGTAACCAGGACTGTGAAACATTCTGGAATTCAAGAAGTATGGAGGTGATAAGATATTTATCTTTTACAAGATCAAAGGTGCTTTTCATAGAAAATCCAAAGTGTATTTTAAGTCCTAGGACATAAAACCAACTTTAGAACTTAACTTAGGATCGTTTCGATAAAGATTTTTATCCTCAGTCAAATACTGTAGATTATAAATAAATTCATTTTCCTGAGAAAAGTTAAGAGAAAAATGACACACCCTTTTATTCGTTATCTGTAAATGCTATTTAGAAATTAAAAGTCATATTAAGATAGAAGTCATAAATTTGGATATATTTATTGAAATGCAAAATTGTCTAAGTTTTCGTCTTAAAACCCATTTCAGACTTAGGACTTTCTATGAAACAAGACCAATGTATTTATCTTTTACAACATAAGTACATCAGTTTTATGTAAATTAGTAATAATTGATCACCAAAATAAGTTGTATAATATCTATAGTGTTACAGGTGAAGGCTTCCTTTTAAATATCATATGTGTGTTTTAATAATCAACAATTTTACTCAAATTGTGGTCAAAACTTTGACAAGATTTAATGACTCTTTGTACACATATGCCGACAGTATAGGGTCAGGCCAGCTCTGTTAGATGCTAAATTTGAACAACATTCATGTTGAATTCCAGAACGAGGAGGTAGGGGTGGGGCTGTGAGAAAAGGATAAAGAAAGAAATACTACTTACTTTGTGAAAAAGGCAGTATGTTTAATTAAAATCCGATTTATGTTGTTATGTTTCTTAAAAACGAACAAATCTGTTTTCTCATTAAGGTAATTAATTGCATTGAGGTCCTAAGTATATACCAATTGTAATCTGAAAGTTAAATTTCCGTTGGAAGTTATTTACATCAATTACTACGAAACTAGATATAAGATATATATATGTTCAAGACCATTTCTTGCCTGGTGTAGTCTGAGCCGGTATGGTAGAGTCCTTCTTTCTGCTTGTTAGCTAACAAACCTAATCCCTAAAACAACATGGATGATGGCACAGCATTTGCATTGATCAAGTATCAGTATTTCTGCCCAAGAAATCTTCTGTTTACAAGTGTCATAAAAAGAAATACCACTTTGATATAAATTTTATGTGCTGTAAGTGTTTGTGGTCAATAGAGATGCAGTAAGTTGGGTTATTTTCTCTCTCTCTATAGGGAAATCATATCATAAAAAGGGAACATAATGAGTTTGGTCCTTATTAACTCAAAATTTTAAATAAGGAAGAGAAAATTGTTAGATGTGTTCTTATATTTGTCATAAGGTTTTTGTAACCTCGTTGTAAAAAAATAGTTTTTGAGTTTAACTTGAGGCATAGATTTTGATGGTATACAGATTGCCGGTAGTTCTTAGTTTTCCTTAGTTTCCCTGCTTTTTCCTAGTTTTTTATGCCCCCACAATGTGGGAGCATATAGCGTTGCACTTGTCCGTCTGTCCGTCAATACGTCAGTCCGTCCGTACGTACGTCCCGAAATCTTGTGAACGCAACTCCTCTTAAACCGGATGGCAGATTTTGCTTAAACTTACAGGGATGAACAACCTTAATGTGTAGATGGTAGTAAAGGAAGGAATTTTTGCTGCGACCAAATTTTACAGATTTATGGCCCTTTGTTGATTTTTTCACTATATACTATGTAGAAATTTTGTGAACGCAACTCCTCTTTAACCGGATGGCAGATTTTGCTTAAACTTACAGGGATGAACAACCTTCAGGTGTAGATGGTAGTAAAGGAAGGAATTTTTGCTGCGACCAAATTTTACAGATTTATGGCCCTTTGTTGATTTTTTCACTATATAGTATGTAGAAATTTTGTGAATGCAACTCCTCTTAAACCGAATAGCAGATTTTGCTTAAACTTCCAGGAATGAACAACCTTAATGTGTAGATGGTAATAAAGAAAGGAATTTTTGCTGCAACAAAATTTAACAGAATTATGGCTCTTTTTTGATTTTTTCATTATATACTATGTTGAAATTTTGTGAATGCAACTCCTCTTAAACCGGATGGCAGATTTTGCTTAAACTTCCAGGGATTAACAACCTTAATGTGTAGATGGTAGTAAAGGAAGGAATTTTTGCTGCGACCAAATTTAACAGAATTATGGCCCTTTGTTGATTTTTAGTTTTCAACTTGTGGCACATGTAGTCCAAAAAATATTTGACCTAGAGTCATAAGATTGACAGAACAGTGGCGTGTGGGGGCATCCGTGTCCTATGGACACATTTCTAGTTTTTTCTAAAATGCTCATAGTATTCTTAGCTTATCATCATTCTAAGCTATTATAGCATGACAACTGTAAAAAACCTTCATGACTTAGTTTGATCATATAGTAATTACCTTATCAAATGTTTAAACTTTCTCATTGATAGAGATCTAATTATAATATTCAAGTGAATTGTAAATTGTTCATACAAAGATTAAGAATAGTAATGAAATTTATTTCCCTAGATTAAAATCTTAAATCAGTTAGAACTTTTTAGTTATTAAATTACAATTACTTTTTAATTATTTAATTACATGTACAATTATTTTTCGATTATTTGATTAAAAACAATTACTTACTAATCATTTAATAACAATTACATAAGGCTATTTGAAAGCTTGACAAACATTTCTGTTCTGAACATTTAATTAACTATTAGCCTGTTGACAGCAAGTGATTTAACCAGTGCAACCAGCACAGACCAAGATTAGCCAACCTCTCTGTGCCATCTGATCTTGGTCAGCACTGTTTGCTATTTAGTCAGTACTTATTTTGAAATTTTCCTAAAAATTCATGAATGGCTTAGTCCAGATTAAAAGATGGACTAGATATTAAGAGTAGTAAAGATTAGTACCAAGAAACATGTAATTTCTTATTCTGTAATACATTATCCTGTTTTGTTTCTCTGTTGCCAGGAAAGAGTGATCCTTATTGTGAAGTGAGTATGGGAGCACAGGAACACAAGACCAAGGTGATCAACAATACACTAAGCCCCAAGTGGAATGCATCAATGCAGTTTACTATAAGAGATATTGACATGGATGCTTTGTGTATTACAGTATTTGACAGAGATCTGTTTTCTCCTAATGGTGATCCTTTTTACTAACTTCACTGTCCTCATATAGTTAAAACATAATGGTTACGTGGCTTTATATATCAGTATCATCATATGATAAATTTAGGATTTATGGTTAATAGCCTCTGTATATCAGTTGTACCATCATATGATAAATTTAGGATATATAGTTAATAGGCTGTGTATGTCAGTTGTTGTACCATCATATGATAAAATCAAGTTATATGGTTCAGACACTGTGTATGTCAACAGTAGCATGATAAAATATGATAAAATTAGAAAATATGGTTATAAGCCTGTGTATGTCAGTAGTTGTACCATCATATGATAAAATTAGGATATATGGTTAATAGGCTGTGTATGTCAGTAGTTGTACCATCATATGATAAAATTAGGATATATGGTTAATAGGCTGTGTATGTCAGTAGTTGTACCATCATATGATAAAATTAGGATATATGGTTAATAGGCTGTGTATGTCTGTAAATGTACCATCATATGATAAAATTAGGATATATGGTTAATAGGCTGTGTATGTCAGTAGTTGTACCATCATATGATAAAATTAGGATATATGGTTAATAGGCTGTGTATGTCAGTAGTTGTACCATCATATGATAAAATTAGGATATATGGTTAATAGGCTGTGTATGTCAGTAGTTGTACCATCATATGATAAAATTTGGATATATGGTTAATAGGCTGTGTATGTCAGTAGTTGTACCATCATAAGATAAAATTTGGATATATGGTTAATAGGCTGTGTATGTCAGTAGTTGTACCATCATAAGATAAAATTTGGATATGTGGTTAATAGGCTGTGTATGTCAGTAAGTGGATGTATTATTCAGTTTCCTCCTAAGATAAAGCTAGGACACACAGTAAAGTGGCTGTGTATTTCAGTATTCTCATATTTAGGACAAACAGTTAAGTGGCTGTGTATTTCAGTTACTAATATGTCACACACCATATGATGATTAAGTTAGGACAATTAGCAGGCATTATATTTCATTATTCTCATATGATAAAGTTAGGACAATAGGTTTCAATGGCTTTGTAATTAAGTGTCCCCAGATGCTATACATGTAGTTTAGACACATGGTCAAGTATCCAAACATGATGTTAAACAAACATGATTAAATAACTGGCAAAATTTCTCTGACAATTGATCCTTGACATTGAGTCTTGTGGTCATTTGACTCTCACCGCTGAGTCAGGAAATCATGTGGGATAAGTTGCAGGAAATATGCAGAGAAATTGGTGATTACTGATTACATGTTAAGATAGATTTACGGCAAGATCTGACCAAAATAAGGGTTTACATTGGCATAAAAAAAGAAACAAAATAAACCTTTTTGGTACAGTTGTTGTTTCTTTTACAAGAGTGAAGACAAAAAATCTAGTAAAATAATTATTTTGATTTTATTTCAGATTTCCTTGGACGCACAGAAATACGAGTGAAAGATATTTTAAAAGAGACAGCTGACCAGGGCAGAAGGCCTATCTTAAAACATTTAATACTCCATGAAGTGCAGACAGGAGAAGTTGTTGTTAAATTAGATCTGCATCTTTTTGACCAATGATGAAGAAGATAAAGTTTATGTGTCAACATCGTGCTGACCAATGATATACAAGATAGCATGTTTATGTCATAGTCAGACTTGATTGAAGTACATGATACAATGTATTGTAATGTATTGTCATCGATAGCTTTCAAGAAACAATGTTATTTCTCTGTAATTCATTTTACTGATAACATCCAAGATACAAAAATGTAATGTTACTAATATTATTTTTTACTGGTAACATTCAAGATACAATGTAAATGTCTGTATTATCCCTTTGGCCAATGACATTCAAGATACAATGTAATGTCTCTATTATTGTTTTGGCTGATGACATTTAAATTACAATGTTATGTCTCTATTATCCCTTTGGCCAATGACATTCAAGATACAATGTAATGTCTCTATTTTTCCTTTGGCCGATGACATTCAAGATACAATGTCATTTTTCTATTACCCCTTTAGCCGATGACATTCAAGATACAATATCTCTTTGGCTGATGACCTTTAATACAAATGTCATGTCTCTATTATTCCTTTGGCCGATGACATTTAATACACAATGTCATGTCTCTAGTATCTCTTTAGCCGATGACATCAAGATAAAATGTTAAGTCCCCATCTTTTAATAATGACATTCAAGATACAATGTTATGTTTTTATCTCTTTTTACATTGACATACAAGATACAATTTATTGTCTTTTTTTTCTGATACTCAAGATACGATGTTATGTCTCCATGTTTTTACCGATGATATTCAAGATATATCTTTGATGAAAATCTTTTTAAATAGTGGCAAATAAGGTCATTTTAATGTCTCCATCTTCAATGTCCTACCAAAACAATGCATTTAAGCAAATATTTCCTAACCACATGAACATTGTATACATATAAGATAAGCAGATTATGCTATGAAATTTGGTATTTTTGGCTTGTGCTCTTAGGACAAAGGGAAATAATTCAGTTATATTACAACTCACTACAGATTACCTATATATACTGTAATATGTGTACATGTACCAATTTTTATGAAATACATGTAGATGTTTATTTATATCAATGTCATTAACTGGGCTAATAATTAAAAGGGATTCCATTGGGGTCCAAAAACCTAAAATGTAGAATTTGAAATTCTTACATAGATCAGCTGTGAAGCACTTGAAAATTAAAAAAAAAATAATCAATAAAAAACACAAATAAAGATAAAATCTTGCATAAATCAAGTTAAGCACAAAAATGGAAACATTTGCATAGGGTAAAAAAGAATGATACTCAAAATTTAATTGAATGACTTTTCGTGCATTTCTTACACTGATATGAGTGAAAAGCATTGTAACGTTTTTCATTTTTGGGTCATTTTGCAAAAATATCATCCTGGAAAAATGTCTGGAAATTTGCACACAAGTGATTGGTCTAGACATACATCAAATGGTAAACAAATGTTGGACAAATATTTCCTGTCGCGTTATCTCAAAAAAACCTCAGTGGAGTCCCTTTAATACTTTAGTTTAATTGGGTTTTTAACACTGAATGTATGATACTCCAACACAACATAGTGCTTAATATACAGTGTACATGTATATATTTGTAGTGATTGCTTTTTGGAAATAAGAAGTTGTAAGCAAATATTTTCATTCCAGGAAACTTCATAAGGTAGCAACATCAATGTCACTATCATTTTAACACCATACCTGTTATAAATTACAATTAATATTACTTTTAGATGTATTTGTAAAAAAGTAAGAAAATTATGTTTGTCAGGGTTTAAACTTATAAGGATCTTAAGTCTGGTTGCCTGTACAGAATGAAATATCTGGCTTAAGGGTAACAAGAGGCTGCACTACTGAGATACCACATTACAATTACCCCAAGGGCTTGATATTTCGGCTTGTATGGGCATCCAATACTAGATTCTTTATCTTCCTTATTACAGATAAAATATATTTTCAAAATAAATATCGAAAAACAATTATTTTTATTTATAACTTCAATGTTTTCCCTGATAGTAACATAAAAACATTTTATAATGGCACATATAATGTTTTACACCTGGGGAATATGATATGACATTGTTCATTGTGGGTGAAAACTTTAGGAAGTCTCTCTCTGATATCCAAGAAAAATATGTAAGACCTTTATGACGGTCCAGTTGTGTTTCTGTCTTTAGTGTGAGTGATTCAAGGCTAGTTTATATCAAATAATCCTAGGATTTTATCAGGGGCCAACAGTGAAGACATGAGTTAACTTAAGTAATATTGCTTACAAAACATCTGGGTTGTGATTCATGGAAAGTCCTAAGTCAAAATATGTCTCAAGACAAAAATTGAGACAATTTTCGTTTCAAAGAAAAAGTTGTAACTTATGACTCGTATGTTAAGACCTTTTCAATTTCTGAATAGCGATGTGGATGAACATTTACTTACACATTGCTGATTGAAGTGGGTGACATTGTATTTTGTAACTTTTCTTAGGAGAATGAGTTAAATAAAAATCTAAAACTTTCACTAAAGATGAAAATATTTATTGAAACAGTCTAATAGTTGGTCTTAGGATACACTTAGGACTTTCAATGAAACGCAGCCAAGACTATAATTCGAGGGGGCAAATGATAAGGATAATAAGGGGTTATATTTTTTCACTGTTATTATCTTTATATATATATGTGTGTACTATTAGATTTAACCAGAAATTATCAAATGTATGTTGTATGTAGCAATATCTGTAAAACATTTAATGGTCTACAACTGGTAAGAAATAGGTGAAAAAAATTCATCAAGCACTAAGAACCAAATAGTTGATATACATGTTGTAATTTTTTTTATTATTGAAACATTTTTTCCCCCTACAGTCAGAGTACTTACAATATACCAGCTGTTTTGATTATTTGGTTATATGTTAAAGGTATGACATAAAGACTGACTGAGACAGTGTTTAACTGGTGAATCAGTTTTTAATTTTTTTTAACAAAACTTTGTATATAGGTAACTGATATAAACAGTTAGCTTGCGATTGCTTTTAGCTCATTAGGGGTCAAGGTCACCGTGGCTGGAAAGATTTTTTTTGATTTTAATATATTAAGTTCATTGATCTAAGATAATTTAAGGATGTGTTTTAACTTTATTTTACTAAACAATTCTTGTTGATCAGCTGAATTGACTTGTTATAATTTAAACAGAAAAAAGAAACTTTTATTAAAGAGATATAATAAAAGGGCCAAAGTGTCCGGAGAAAAGAGGCCAATTTTTAATAGGGGGCGATTTTTGTACTGGTGCCAATTTGGTTTGGGCCCGAAAAATCTTGTTTGCGGCTGGAAATATTTGAAAAGCAGTTCAGTTCATAAATTTTTAAATTAGGATGCTGTAATTAAGTATGTTAGTTTTTAATTGAGATAAAAATATAAAGAACCTGATGGGTTTTATTGATTTTGTTTTTCAAATCTGTCCTGTAGTTTTCATGACCTGTGTTATTATGTGAACATGTTTTTAACATTTTTTAGTAACCTGCTACTGCTGTAGTGAATTAAAGTCTCTATGTAAATATTAAAACCTGGTTTTATAATGATGCCACTTTTCTTGTCTTATTAATTTATGGAATAGTCATATTTATAAAAGTGATATTACGGTATGCAATTGATAGTCCATCTGTATGTTTGTTAGCACTTTAGTTTCTTTTGAAACCTTCATGTAACTGGTCAAATTTTTATCTCTACCAACTCATAATGCTGATTTGATATTACAAACTTTTCTCTGATATTGTTTAAATAGATAGATCTTTGTAAGTTAGAAGACAGTCATATATTTCACACATTTCAGGTGCATTGCTTTTAAGTCAAAGGTCAAGGTAAAAGTCAAAAACTTGAGTCAGCATTTTTTTTACTGGTTACTATTTCTCATGAAAAGTGGCAATTCATGATACCTTGATGAAATTAGAAAATGTTTGAGATATCAGCTTGAAACTTCATTAGTGAATAGCTCTATTATCCTGTCTTTGTTTAACTGACTATCCTCTTTTATATAAGTTTTCTCCCTTTTGGCATGTAATTTGGCAGTCTGTAGACATGGTGGTGTTGAAGGTACATTTATGTCACTTTAAAGATGCATTATGCCTCAGAAATCCATATTTTTGTAATTCTTTAGAAATGCCAAACATGTGTTTGAAAATGTTTTAAAAATAGGACAAGAGCATGTTTAGATATTCAACAACTGAAAAAAGAAGCGCTGAGCATGCAGTGATGTGTTGTAAAGGTAGCGAAATGTAAACAAAGCAGTATTTTTTGTCTTTCATACAAAATTTACTAATTCACTAAATATACACTTTTGCAAACATAGCAAAATAAGCAAAAGATAAATTGTGTATAAATATTGACAAATGAGTATTTTGGAAACTGTGGCAAGATACCAAACATAGAAAGTTTTTGAGAAATGGAAAATATAGCATTTTTAAGACATAATGAGCCGTTAAGTATTAAAATTCCAAATGTTTAGGTAAATTTCAGATATGGGCCATAACTTGATGATGCTTCTTTAATTGAATTTGTTATCTTAAGACTTATGTAATCCAAACACAAATATTTTTGTTTTAGTTATAATTTATTTTTTACAGGGTTGTGCTGCACTTGTGCAATTGCATGATACAAAAATGATTATAATAAATAGAATAAAAGTTTCTGCTCTATTATGTTTGAAGAAGTATATTGAATGAAAACATTTACATTTATTTCATGCTTTCCAGTGTTTTATTGTAATATATCAGATGATTATATTCTGATAAACCACTTGTGAAATTTATAAAATATAATTTACACTGTAGCCAGACTATATCTGAATGCGGATGAAAAGAAAATCATAACAAAATGGAATAACAGGCAGAAATAAAAGCTGTCATGCGTAAATTTTGCTTCTTTAGGAAAAGAAAATCGATGTTATCATACATCATGTTAAAAATGTAACAAAGTTAGAGAAATTTAACAGACCTATATTTCAAAACTGATGATGTGACGTCATGATATGATGGCAAAATCAGTAAAAAATACTTAAAATCACTTAAAAAGCATGAAATAAAAAGAAAATTTATTTGTTTTACATATAAGATTGAAATATACTTCATT